ATTTATGAAGATCGGAAGGGACTTTCTATAATATGATCCTCAGCGTTCATGTGCCAGGTCACGTTTTTTAAAACTTTTTTTTTTTAATGTTTATTTATTTTTGAGACAGAGAGAGACAGAGCATGAACGGGGGAGGGTCAGAGAGAGGGAGACACAGAATCTGAAGCAGGCTCCAGGCTCTGAGCTGTCAGCACAGAGCCTGACGCGGGGCTCGAACTCACGGACCGTGAGATCATGACTTGAGCCGAAGTCAGACGCTTAACCGACTGAGCCACCCAGGCGCCCCTGCCAGGTCACATTTTAAAGCTGATACATGGCTATGGGGCACCTGGATGACTCGGTTAAGTTTAAGCAACCGACTTCAGCTCAGGTAATGATCTCATGGTTCATGCATTCGAGCCTGCATTGGGCTCTGCAGTGACGGTGCGGAGCCCACTTGAGATTCTCTCTCTTTATCCCTCCTCCACTTGCATTCTCTCAAAATAAATAAATAAACTTAAAAAAAAAAGCTGATACATGGTTCTAACTAATGTTTACAGTGAGAGCCTTTTTTTTTTAAACGTTTATTTATTTTTGAGAGACAGACAGAACATGAGTGGAGAAGAGAGGGAGACACAGAATCTGAAGCTGGTTCTAGGCTCTGAGCTATCAGCACAGAGCCCGACATGGGGCTGGAACCCACAATCCATGAGACCATGACCTGAGCTGAAGCTGGATATTTACCCAGCTGAACCACACAGGCGCCCCTACAGTGGAAACTTCTATTATGACAATGACTTAAAAACCCATGATACTCTTTGAAAAGGTAAAGAAATATAGACCTAATCCTGCATTGTCCCAAGATCCACAATAGAATCATATATATTTTTCACAATAGGATTATATTTCAATAAATGGCTAGACATATATAAAACATCATGGACATTTTAGTTCTATGCCCACAAAATAGATTTAGAAGATTAACCTCCTGAAATACAGAATGTGGTTCACTGGAGTAAAATAATATAAAAACAAATAAACAGAAAAAAGGATAATATAGTATTAAGGAAGTCAGATAAGAGTTTCATTTTAGTTTTTCAGTAAAACATGTAAACAGTCGCAACATTTTCTGGCTTCATCATCCTAGAGGCATGTTACCCATACAGCTAAGGAATGTTAGCAGTTATGAAGTTCAGGCTTTGAACTTGGTTTTCCCTAATTCAGAATTCCCCAAACAGAGATGCAACTACATTTAGAAGAGGTTCTCAAGCTGCCATGTTTGCAAAACCTACCCACAATACCCACATCCCCCCAACCACTCCCAAAGCCCTGCTGCATTACAGAGAGATAGGAAGTGACTCTATTGGGTAGGGTTTATAGCACTCATCCTTAACAAAACTCACTATCATACTCTGAATCACTTATTTTAGTAATATTTATGAATACCTATAAGTGTATAATATACAGAATGAGGAACTACAATACAGGACTGTACCACATTTAAATCATCTTCATCTACTAGAGCTAGCTTATTTTTTGGTAGCTTACCCCACTTACCCTTGGCACTTTCCTAAAAGCAACTTTTAGGACTCTATAACATACTGGCATAACCTTGGGGAAAAAAGATCATCATTTTCCCTAAAAAATCTTTAGCATATTACTTTTTCTATAATTCACAGCAGTACAGTATCACCACACCTCATCTATGTTTCCCTGACTCTTCAGGAGAAGGCAAGTGCACTTTATCTAAAAGAGCCCCAAAAGTAAAGTTACTCATCTTATTTTGGCTATTGGCATCATTTTGAACAGAACATTAAAGATACAGGTAGTCCTTTTATTTTGGATTACTGCTGTTAGGACCCTTAACATAAGTTAAGATCTGCATCAAACAAGTGCTTAATTACTTCTGTTATACTGACTTACACCCACCAACATTTTTCCATCATATAGAAATAGGTGACCTATTCCATAGGACAAACCAGAAAGTTCAACCGGTTGACAGCAATGAAGGGGCTGAACACTGTATTAAATGCCAGACTTAGTGATTCAAGTTACCTCGAATATCATTTGTTAGGTCTCTTGTTAAAAGATGTTGCCAGATTATTAAAAAGACCACAAAAATACTACGACAAAATTCAGCAAGCCAGGTCTGGCTTCCAAAGAACCTAAAACTTCTTCCCTATGCTACCTTTCATTCCATCTGTGCTGATATGTTCCCTAGTCCCTTATTCCTAGATAGGGATTATCATGGTCCAATACTCCCTGGGGTAGCAGGGTTAGAATATGCAGCCTTAGCAATGTAAAGTCCATGGAAAAACATGAGAAAATTTATACACTACTTACATCCAGGTGCTTTAGCCTCCTGGCCAGTGGCTATCCAACTTTCTGGCTCTAAACACTAATCCTGGTAGTTTGTGATTATTTGTCCTCACTTTCACTCTCCTGTTTGATCTCCATGACTTCCTCTCTCTTAAGTAATTAGTCTCCACTGAGACAAAAAGCAGAGAGAATGTCAACCTGGAAGCCTAAAGAAACAGAAGCCGCCATATACTGTAAGACAAGCTGTATCTTTCACCATAACCCTACAGTTGTCAACTTTGGTTGCATATCAGAATCACCTCATAAGCTTTGAAATATCCTGATGCCTAGGCCTCATTCCAAACTTATTAAATAAGAATCTCTGAGGATGGGACAAGGCATCACTATTTGTTAAAGCTCCTCCAAGAGAATGAAGTATGTATCCAAGTTGAGACCACTACATTAACTCAGATTGAATTGCTGTTCTCTGGCTTTTTACTTAGAAAACTAATCCCAAATCTTGTTTTCCATATAGAATTTCAGAGGACTTTTTTTTTTTTTTAATGTTTATTCATTTTTCAGAAAGAAAGAGAGAGACAGAGCACGCACACCATCAAGGAAGGAGCAGAAAGAGAGAGGGAGACACGGAATCTAAAGCAGGCTCCAGGCTCCAAGCTGTCAGCACAGAGCCCAATGCGGGGCTCAAACTCGGAAAAGGCAAGATCATGACCTGAGCTGAAGTCAGAGGCTTAACTGACTGAGCCACCCAGGCTCCCCATCAGAGGACTTTTTAAGTAATTCCTAGGCTCTGATCTACTTTAACATTAGGAAATTTGTTCCCCAATAAAGGAAGGAGTAGGGGGTGTTCTATTTCACTTGTGTAGGGAAGGAGGTAAAAGTCCTTTGTATATTCTCACATCTGCCAGGAGCTGCTTCTTCTCCCTTTATAGACACTAAAATCACAAAGACAAATTCTAGGTTCCTATTAGGCAGGACTGACATGAGTCATAGATATGTGATTCCTCCAAGTGAAATGTCAAGGTGTCCTAGGTCCCCAAGGTTCCTTCTCCTACCTCCAGCAGGTCTATCATCCTGGTCATCTGGGAGTAGATAAGGACCCTATGTCCTTGAGACTTGAGCCGAGTCAGGAGGACATCAAGGGCATACAGCTTTCCACTGTCAGTGATGAGGCTCTCCTTGCCTGGGGAGAAGAAAAGGGAGGGAGGAGGGGGGAAACTGTATTTAATTGAGGCAGCAAAATCACTCACTGCAAAGCTGTATGCAGCCAAAATTACAACCAGGATGCTTATCACCATGAGAGCAGAAAAGTACTCTAGAGAAGAATCCAAAGCACTGTTACATCATGATCCAGTAGTGCTCTGGGAAGCAGTATCCTGAAAGAGGGAGGTGTAGGTTCCCTTGCAATTGACAGACATCTGCTCCTAAGGCATTCAAAAGCTTCCCTGCTCCATGTCCTTATTCAGGGGATAGAGGGTACACATGGACATCCAAGAGGCCCACGTCATACATGCTGTAAGTGACCTGTTTCTCCTTGTTCATCCTATCTCTAGATGTCTGTTTCTGCTAGTTCTACAGCTATATGGTTTACACCCCCTAAAAGCATGAGAATGTACAGAAACAAGGGCTACTCTTGCCTATCCCCAGAGACACTTAAATATTGAGAAATGCAAATAAACATATCCACTTCTGTCCCTTTGTTTAAATCCAAACTCCTTCTCCTCGATGATTTCAAATAGGTTGGTTGGTAAATGTCATTATCCTAAACTGTAATTTAATAAAGACTGGGTTTCTGTGAAATAGAAACTGCTTTTATTCACTAACTTGCGCTTTCTCTCTCCTCTTCCCATTAAAAAAAAAAAAAAAAAAAAAAAAAAAAAAAAAAAAAAAAAAAAAAAAAAAAAAGAGTATTTTAGCCAGAGATCTTTACAGAACACTTAACTCCCAAATATTCATCTTATCCATTCAGTATCATTCAACTCCCATCACATTTCAGGAAGTAGAATTTCCTGTTTGCAGACTGGTCCATAAACATGCCCGAACAATCACTGCTAGTAAGAGGGGAAGAAATGAGGCTTAAGAGGCTGGGAGAGTTAAGAGTACATGTGGAAGTGGCTCTGGGATGCAACAAGAGAGAGACCAAGGATAGACATATTACATAGACAACTAAGCAACAGAAGTAAAAAAGGAAACTATTAAAAAAACATGCTGTCTACCCCTAGTTTCTGGGTTTGAATCCATGGTTTTTTCCTCTCAGAACTGCAGAGGCTGACTGTTGAGAGCAATCCAAGAGTTCTGAATGGAGATTTCTCTGTTCTCGCCACTATTTGCCAAGTGCACAATTATTGTATAAACCGAACAAGAGCGGATGTGCTGACAGCACCATAACAAATCATCAGCCACTCTGTTTTTGCTACAAAGCCACAGGCCCTGGATGTTTACTCCTCAGCACTGCAGCTTGCCTTTTCCCACCTTCGAATGCTGCCAGGCCACATCTCTCCCTCCACCGCCCCCGCCCCCCCTCCCCCCAAGCTATGGCACACACCTTTGTTCAGCCTCTTTGTTTGGTCCTGTTTAGATTATTGAAATGCTCTTCTTTTTGTTGGTCTCCTTACCAACACAATCAAATGACTGCAGCTGGGACAGAGCCGAATGCTAAGCCCTCTCCCTGGCACCAGACAAGGAGGCCTGTACAAATTCCAAATCTGACCAAGCGGCAACGCTTTCCTAACAACCTCAAGGTTTTCTTGTCACGATTACCTTACCTTTCTCATTTAATTGGATTTCGTGGGATCCCTCAATTTTGATAGCTCCTAAACATTCCCCACAGAGCTACCAATCAGCTTTCGACAATAGTTTCTTTCTTTTTTTTTTTCTTTTTTCATTAAAAGCACAGGAAGGTGAAAAAACAAAGTCCATATATTTTTCAGTCATTGAGTAGAGTGGGCAAGCTAAGCTCATCAGATTTCTGCAGCCTGCTTATCTTCTCTCTCCATTCACATCCACTCCCTCAACCAAAATATTTAAGCATATATAAATCTCTTGTGACTGCATACTGAGAAGCTTCATCTCAAAATCATGATTCAATGGTTCTCACACATTCCTGCTTCCTACATCTACTTTACTTTGCTAACTAGAGCAAACTGATGCTAAGATTAGGAAGGCTCAGAGATGAAGATGTATACAGACTCTGAAGGACAGAACTCTGATGCACCCAAAAGAATTAAGAGTGGCACCTGTTGTTAGCTATTACTGTGTACGTGGGGACTGAAAATAGATGGGCTGGATTTCTTTGGACCACTCTGAAAGAAAAGGCCTAAGAAGAAAGACACTGCAGCAATAGTCTTAAAATACTTAAGCAATGAACAATATTTCTCCTTCTCTGTTAAGCATCCTAGACAGAGAAGTCAGCCCCCAGTACTTGTCCTTAGAAGATAAGCAGAAAAAATGGGTTTCTTTCCGTGCAAACATTGGTACCTTCTGGGCCTGGCATCCATTACCCAATTTTTTAGAAGCTACCAAAGCTGCACTAGACAACAGCACCACCTGTTACTAAGTAGGGCACAGAGCCAAGAAGAGCACGATTCCCTAGAAATTAGGCTGACTGTGCCAAGGCAAACCTCTCTTAAAACAGGATCTCAAAACATGTTGAACAGACCTATCCTACCTTCCTGCAGTATTTTCTACAATCTTGCAGTACAGTCTTATAGTATTCACTTAGACACAAGTTCTTACTGACCACAGCTGTGTAAGAGCCTACTTAGAAAATGAATATATCCCATGGCAGTAAAATTAGGGTAACAGATGAAATAATATCTCCTTTTTCCAAGAGAGAATTTTTAAAGGACTGTGCATCTTTCTCCAGGTGAAACAGGGAGATGCATTCAAGGTGTGAAAGAAATCCAGGAGATTTTGGTCTCTCGGGGACTATAATGGAACCAACCCTTCCTAAGGAAACAGAAAATGTAAAAGTATAGAGAAAAAAGAGATAAAATACAGGTTTCAGTGACCCTGCACCCCCACCCCTCACTGCCCTGCCCCAGCCAGTCTACAGAGCACAATGGGGTCAGTGAGGAGCTGGTTGGTTCTCACAGTAAACAGCCAGTGAGGCTGGCGCTTTTTATCGATGCGAAAAGAACTCAGACACTTCCTGCAATTTAAACAAGGTCCATTTTTCTTTCAAAGAACAGGAAAAGCCACAAGAGATTCCCACAGCGCCAGCAATAAGCCTTCTACTCCTGTACTGGGAACTTAGGAGCCACAGTGAAGGAAGGAGAAAGAAGAAACAAGGTGTTGTCTTGCTTCTTTCAACACCTGTGCTCATCTTCTGCCTGGGATTCTATGGTTTCCAGACCCGGTAGATTTTATTCCGCTATTCCCACTACAAACCAGGCCTGTTTTACAATGGGGCTTTCCCTTTGTTTTCCTACAGTACACCTTCACCCAATGCTTTCAGGTGTTCTAAGACTGCTACGAGGACACATACAATGCTGCTCTCATAAACTCAAAATGGCATCTTCTAGTTCAAAGCACCCCCACAGCTCCTACCAGGCTGACCCTAAGTCCTTTGACACTTGGAAGATTCTTTTTGAATGCTTAGCTCTAGTTCACTTCCATCATATCCAGTAAGAAGAATACATTCAAAATATCAGAGAATCTGGACAACCAAAACTAACACGGTAGTTCTCAACTACCATTCCAGTTTGCCAGCAGGTGTAAGCAAAGAACATAAGCCTATGAACTCTGTGTTCAGTTTCCTTAACAGTAGTCTCACTAAAGCAAAGATGAAAACCTAGTTTCCTTTCAACCCTCGACCTTGACTCTAGGAGGTCTGGGAATCCGCTAGCATTTTGGCACAGAACACACTGTTTTTCTTCTGGTTATCATTCAGATCTCTAGTGCTCCGTGCAGGACACTGTTTATGCTACTTCAACGAGGCTTTCTGTGAGTGACGACATTCTCATTCACTCTACTGGCAATAGCACAAGACAACTGTACTCACTCAACCTGGAACCTTTCCTACCAAGTTTATTTCTATCCCCCTCCCCCTTTTAAAGGGTGGCATTCCTATCTCAGTTGCAAGCTTGTCAAAGGAGAGTACGTAAGCACAAATCGAAAAAACATTTCTCTCTTCAGTCATAAATTACTTAAGTATTTTTATCTATAAAGTTACTAAAGGCAAAACAGGAAACAAGCCCAAAACTTTGAATTTCAAATATCTGAAACTACCACATGGAGTAAGTCTCTGGTTCACCCACTTGCCAGAACTGGGAATACATTCCAAGAGAACAGAGAACTTACCTGGAATCCTGATGAAAGACCAGCCATTCTGAGGCCTGATGCTCCACAGTCCTCCAGCTGGCTCTGGGAAGAACTGGGATCGTCGATTTAGCCAATCTGTTGCCAGTTCAGGGGCCCCATTTAACAAACACTGCTTGGCTGCCAGACTCCCTCCTTCCTTCAGCACTCGCCGCTCATATTCTGCACTTCGGTCATTGCAGTAAGAATCCAATGGCACTGCGGTAACCTACAGTGAAAGATCCACATGAGATAGCTTTCACATTTCCTACACTTCAACTCTGAAATCAGGCAGATGTGGATAATTTTTAGGCTAGTGGTTTGAACTTCTTTGTTCTGACAAATAAGCTGCCGTTAATAATGACCTAGTGAGCTGGTCCACGTAAAAGGTCAACCTCTTCAACATGAACCTGCAGCAAACTAAAGATCCAAAGAGTGCTGGAGTTTGCAGAAAAACTGGGATACCAAGTCAGGAATAATTCTATCACAGGTGTATATATAGATCTGATTACTCTGCCACCTCCCCTCATTGCTGGATAGTGTTTTCAGTGAAGTTCTATTAGCCATCCACAAAATGGTGAGATCAGAAAGGGAGCTGGAGCTCCGCAGTCATTACTAAAGAACTAAAGAGTTATGGGCCCAGTGCATATGAAGTTATCTTTAATGCTTTTGTGGCAAAGCTCCTGTATTTACCAATACTTCTTTCTCTCTTCCCTGACAGGTTGTTAATTGACAAACCTAATGGAAAATAAAAGAACCTTTCTTTTAGGCCATAAGCTGGGACACGGTAGAGGCAGGTGGAGAAAGCAACTGCCAAAGAGTAGTGGATTCATTTCTTGGCTAGGACAGAGGCTAGGCACAAAATCTTATCACACCACAAGGTGCAACCACACTGAAATGCTGCCCCCCAATGGAATAGAAGGCTCCTGTTAATTTAGAAACAAGCTTTTTAAAATTTTTTTTTTTTTTCAACGTTTATTTATTTTTGGGACAGAGAGAGACAGAGCATGAACGGGGGAGGGGCAGAGAGAGAGGGAGACACAGAATCGGAAACAGGCTCCAGGCTCTGAGCCATCAGCCCAGAGCCCGACGCGGGGCTCGAACTCCCGGACCGCGAGATCGTGACCTGGCTGAAGTTGGACGCTTAACCGACTGCGCCACCCAGGCGCCCCAGAAACAAGCTTTTTAATAATCCTTTAGCGATCTGGGTCTATTCCCACTGCTAATAAGCATCTGTGTATTCAGATAGCTGTGAAATCATCTGATAGGAGCCCAAGTTACCGTCTGTTAAAATTTGGAGGCTCTGATTATCTGCAAGTTCAGGTTGAAAATAATGCTAAAGCCCCATTATATGCAGTAAATTGCTCAGAAAAACCCTGGAACTAGACCAAAAGATGAGGGAAAACTGGGTATAAGAAGCAAGGGCAGAGGTATAGGAGAGACCAGAACATAAAACGCTGGTTGTACCTAGGTAGCTACTTTCATTGTTGCTATTATGTCCAAGAAGTTAGACATTTAGGAAAATATATCTTACTATTAACTTTTCTATTTTCACGCCCATCAATCTTTAGGGCAATGGAATGGTTGTCAAGTTTTTGTATGCCTAAGAACCTTCTTGGGAGTTTATCTAAAGCACAGATATTAATCCAGAAGACCTAAGGAAAAAGCCAAAAGCTCTAGGTTTCTAACGAGCACTACAGAACCTCAGGCTAAGCCTTAAGAACTACTGCCAGGGTGCCTGGGTGGCTCAGTCAGTTAAGTGTCCAACTTCGGCTCAGGTCATAATCTCATGGTTCATGGGTTCGAGCCTCATGTCGGGCTCTGTGTTGACAGCTTAGAGCCTAGAGCCTGCTTCAGGTTCTGTGACTCCCTCTCTCTCTGCCCCTCCCCTGCTCATACTCTAGGTCTCTAAAAAAATAAACATCAAAAAAACACAAAAAAGATATACTGCCTTGGTTTACATTAACAGTCAGCTAGCTGACTATGAGGCTGCAGGTGCCTCTGCTGAAGACTACAGAATACCATAAACAAGAGAAAGCGCATCATTTACTAATAGCCACAAGAGTGCTCTACTCTGGCTTACAGATGAAGCTGAACTGAGTTTGCTAGCAAGCAGTGCCATCTACAGTCCACATATCAAACTACAGGGAAGGTCAGAGCAAGCAGGGCCCCTACTGCTCCAAAACCCAGATAAGTTCACACATAAATCACTTTCACACACAGTACTAGGAGCAGGTTTTGGTAATCTCATATTACCTTTGCCCACTCAAAAACGGGTATTTTTGCGTTCAAGTTATTCCTTTTTCCCACCTAAAGCTGAGCACATGTAAATACAGACAGAGTAAAACGCAGGTGAATAAAAATTGGATCTCTCCCATGATGGTCTGTCCTGGCTGCAGCTCAGCAGATCCTGGACCAGAGCAGGTATGTACCATCTAGGATATGAGTCTCAGAACCTCACAATCAGTAGTAGCTGTACTTTCATAACAATGGTACAAGCAGCAGTGGATGAGCTACAGAAGTATGACCAATTCTCTATACTATACACACTCTTGGATGAGTAGAGCATATTTAGTCTTTTCTAATGAGAGACTCATACAGTCCAATTTTATGCTCAAATATAACTGTTTTTGGTTTTATCATTATTGTTTATTTTATAGAAAAGCAGGACTTATACTGGAACTATATATAAGACGTCAGGCCCAAATGCTCCAGATGAAAACTCAAAAGCCAGAAACTCAGCATGAAGGAATAGGGGGAGAACAGGACACAGGAAGAATGTTTTTCCTGTCTAGAACTCACTCCTTGGCACTCTTATGGTTTATTATTTTTTAAAATGTTTATTTTTGAGAGAAAGAGAGAATATGAATAAGCAGGTGAGAGTCAGAGAGAGAGGGAGACAGAGTCCTAAGCAGGCTCTGCACTGTGGGTGCAAAGCCCAATGTGGGGCTCGAACCTATGGACCGTGAGATCATCACCTGAGTCGAAGTCAAACGCTTAACTGCCTGAGCTACTCAGGTGACCCAGCACTCTTATAGTTTAAAACCAAAACAACTTTTTCCAGTTATAAACTTTCACCTATTTTCCAATTTCATTTTGCTGACATCCTTCCAAGTCCAGGATTGAAAACTAGGAGGTTTGCGGGGCCCAGTTCTTAGTGAAATATTTTTTAATGTTTTAATAAGCTTCTTTGGCAGGAGCCCTGGATCAAGATATATGCAGAATCACAGAATGTCATGTTGTAAGTACGTAAGCCGTGAACTCATGAGGCACAAAAAGAGGCAAACAAGTCCACTTCTAATTAAATTGTGCTTCCCTAGTCAGCTCTATCCTAGACAGCCTCCACCCATTCTGCTAACCCCAGTGGCCTTCCTGACTGTTGAGAAACAGGGGGAGATGAAGCATGACATACCATTCTTAACTCCCCACAAATGGAAATGCATACTCCCTTTAGTCTCACATGAGCTAACCTCTGTTTCTTGCTTCATTAACTTCCTAAACTATAGGATCTTCAAGGGCTGTCTCCTCAAGCATTTAGCGCGTCCTTCCTGATGACATGTATATTCCTGCTCTAGCTCTAAGAAGCGTGACCACTCCAAGCGCTTCAGTTTTTTTTTTTGGTAAGATGGATTTCCAGGGTCTTAGTTTATTAACGTTGCAGAATTATTTCCTTAGCTAATGAGAAAAGAAATCCTATAATTCCTTCCTTAATGGCACAGTTCTTCCTGAACCGACCCTAAAGTTTCCACAGCACATGCCAAGGACATTAATTTGTTTAAGCTCAAGGCCAAGGTTAAGACTTCAAAGGAAATCAGTCTGTCCCTACCCCAGATGGGTTAAAAATCAATATAAGATAATTAAGGAATCACATGATTATTCACTCTAGGCCTGATCAAGGTAAAAGCTTGTGTATGACTTTATATTCAGATATATTTAAAACTCTTCTTCCTGTCCTCATAACCATGGTGTTACTTATTCTCATTTCAAGTTCAGCACATACTTTATGAAGAAACTCTACACACAATTATAGATAAAGGCGCTGAGCAAGAAAGGAGGGTGCTGGGGAGGAGCCCTTCAGCCAAATGATAAAAAAAAAAAAAAGTTTCCTTCTGTTCCCTGCCTGCCACCACACCTTTATGCTACTATGGTCTTCTCTAAGCTACTCATTATTTATTGTTCTTTAGGGAAAAAGCAGCATCTGGCATGATAGTTTAGATTTTGGGCTCCTCAGAAAACAAGTCTCTAGTAGTACAGTTTGGGTATGCGTGTTTGAGTATGTTGGGAGAGTGGAGTTGTTCTTCAGAGTAGTTAGCTATACAGCTCTAAGTGGAACAAATGAGGAATCTTCATGCCTGTAAATGCAATGATGGTCCAAGGCATTTCACTTTTTAATTGGCTCTATAAAACACTGGGGATATGAGAAGTGAAAATGTCTAGAGATCCCTCTCAGAAATCCAGACTTCCTCTTATTAGGTCTCTAAGTATATACATCAGATTGGGAGAGTGAGAAGGCAACGAACTACACAACTATGAAGTCTAAAGACTGCTTTCTATAGAAACACCAGACCTTGGATATTTTGTAGAAAAAGTGAATTTCCCTACATCAACTTAAGCTTCAAAGACCAAAAATGCTTTGAAGAACTGGATACATATAAAATCTAAATATTTTCTATTTAGATAGCCAATATAAATCAAAGTTAACGGTGGCCTAGGAATCAAGTTCATGTAGTACAGGATCAGTAGGAAGAAGTTAAGGCAGGCAGGAGTCAGTGCGACTCAGTACTACCATCTTGTTTCCACTCATCAACTTTCTTGGGACCCTCTGCCAGATTCTGACCTTTGATAACTTAATAAAGGATGCAAGCAGATGTAAATACTGACAGAAAAATATCACTAAGGAAGATTCAAAAGGCTCCACCTTCTTTAAAGAGAACTGTGAAACCAGTAGGCCTTCTAGGATGAGTGCAGAAAACAAGAGAAAACACAGAAGGGTAAGAAATGTCAGCCTCTTGGTGCACCTGGGTGGCTCAGTCAGTCGAAAGTTGGACTTCAACTCAGGCGAGGATTTCATCATTCAAGAGTCTGAGCCCCACAGCGGGGCTCGCTGCCCGTCCCGCTTTGGAGGCCCCTCTCTGCCCCTCCCCCGAACTCGTGGTCTGAGAGAAAGAAAGAAAGAAAGAGAGAAAGGAAGAAAGAAAGAGAGAGAGAGAGAGAAAGAAAGGAGGAAATAAAGAATGAATGAATGTCAGCCTCTTAAAGAGTCTTCGTGCTAACTGGAAGATGCCCCAGAGCAAAAGGAAATGAGCCAGGAAGACAGATACTTGTCCTCTGCTCTAACCAGAGTCTAGTGCATCGCTACTCTGTCCCTCTCCCTTCATATACTTCTTCTGGTGTTGTAAGAGAGCTTCTGTCTGGCTCTGATCAATAAGGACAAGAAAGGGGCGCCTGGGTGGCTCAGTCGGTTAAGCGGCTGACTTCGGCTCAGGTCATGATCTTGCGGTCCGTGAGTTTGAGCCCTGCGTTGGGCTCTGTGCTGACAGCTCAGAGCCTGGAGCCTGTTTCAGATTCTGTGTCTCACTTTCTCTGACCCTCCCCTGTTCATGCTCTGTCTCTCCCTGTCTCAAAAATAAATTTAAAAAGTTAAAAAAAAAAAAAAATAAGGACAAGAAAGAGCACAAGAGGTAAGCAGAGTAAAACACTGCACTGGGCCAAGAGGAGCCTTTGCAGTGATGCTGTCAGATATCACCAGAGTGCCCAGTTTTGATAAATGGGGTGTTAAGAGGCATCTAACAGTTGCTCAATGTTGAAACCATAACAGACACTGCTCCCAATCTGCAAATAAGACTAGGACTGCTGAATGGTGAACACAGCACAACAGTTACTTTTTAGGGCGAACATACTTGTGAACCAGTCTCAGCAGGGCTGCTAAGGAAAGTGAGAGGACACCAGATGAAGAAGTTTCGTGATGCTGGAGTGTTAGGTTTCCTTTTGTTATTTGGAGACTGCACTGAAGCGATAAGGCCAGATCAAATCTCCCTCCCAATGTAGCCCCCTCCCTTGAAAACCCGTCAAAAACCTCAATGCAGGTAACAAACAGCTCCCTCTCCTTATCAAATATTCCACTGTCCTTGACCCTGCTGTTTGGTGATAACCTACGTGACAGATGGCTTGCTCCCATGATAGTTCAGAGCTCCTTCCTGACTAAATGAGAGGAACTACACAGGAGAGACTTGGTCAGGCAAAGAAGCCATTCCTATTTACCATACAATAGTTCTCTAACCAACAAAATTTAAAGGGAGGAGTGTTGCCTTGGCAAAGCCAGGACCATGTATGCTTTCTAAATACTGAGGATTAATGTTTCTCAAGGTCCAAACAGCTTAAACACTTGTGTTTAAGAAATGGATCTCTTAAAAGTTGGTTTATTTCTTCAAGTATCATCTATTTTGTTTCTTCCCTCTTGTGGCACTTACTCGTGGACTGGCCACACACAAAAAAGATGGCAGTTCAGTGAGCAGGCAGCAACGAAGTGAGGAGGTAGCTGATCTCCGCTGATGGATGACCTGGTCTGAGTAGCCACTTACTGCTTTGCAGTGGCTGCTGAAAACCAGAGACTACAAAACAAAAATGCAAATTAGTACCATAATGCAAATTATGTTTAATGTAAGCAAAACGGAAAAAAATGTCACATATTAAACATCTGACTTAAAAGACATTCTTCTAGTAAACATTATGAATCCTAATAAACAACCAGTATTTAGAACCAAATGTATAATATAGTCAGAGTCCATGCTAATTTTTAAAACATGGCTTTATTAATATACCATAAGCAAGTGGCACTTCTCATTCTACCTTTTCCTGGGAAAGATACTATTAATTATAAAATAGTTAAGAACATAACGTTCATTAGATGACACAATGCATATGTAGGGGGGAAGTCTGGTTCATTTGTTATACCATGGATGCAAACTCATGTCTTAAGTTAAACATGATGACCAGGGCGTGTGGGTGGCTCAGGCAGTTCAGTGTCCGACTTCAGGTCAGGTCATGATCTCACAGTTCGTGAGTCCCAGCGCCACATCAGGCTCTTCGTTCTCAGCACAGAGCCTACTGCGGATCCTCTGTTTCTCTCTTTCTCTCTGTCCCTCCCCAGCTCATGTTCTCTCAAAAACGGACATTAAAAAAAAAATTATTAAAAAAAAAACACACGATGACCAACGTTTCTTCCCAAAATTTTAAGGTACATCTGCTTAGCATCATGTGTGTATACTAACAATGCAGTGTACATCTGACCCTTGAACAACATGGGTTTGAACTGTGTGGGTCCACTTATACATGGATTTTTTTTTCAGCAGTAACAGAACAGTACTGTAAATGTATTTTCTCCTTCCTACAATTTTTTTAAGTTTATTTTGAGAGAGAGAGAGAGAGAGAGAGAACACGCAAGCAAGTCGGGGAGGAGCAGAGAGAGAGAATCCCAAGCAGGCTCTGTGCTGTCAGCATGGAGAATGATATGGGGATCTATGATCTCCCGAACCTTGAGATCATGACCTGAGTTGACACTGAGTCGGTTGCTTAACTGACTGGGTCACCCAGGCGACCCTTCCTTATGATTTTAACATTCTTTTCTTTAGCTTACTTTATTTTAACGATACGGTATATAACATATATTACATACAAATTATGTGTTATTGGTAAGGCTTCCTGTCAACAGCAGGCTATCAGTGGTTAAGTTTTGGGGGAGTCCAAAGTTATATGCATATTTTTGACTGCAGGGGATCAGCAACTGTAACCCGTGCTGTTCAAGGGTCAATTATAGTTCCAGCAAGGTGAGCTGTTTTATTTGGTGACACCAATACAAGTGCTCAGGAAAAGGAAATAATTTTTTACTACCTTTACCAGATCATCATTTTAAAAACATAAATTCTTCATATATATTACTATATCAATACACTTTAATCAGACTAAAAGCTCATGTTAAAGTTTCAGTTTACAGCCATTCCTGTGAAAGACTTTTTAAAAGTCTGGTACATTCACATAAAAGAATGTGTCAGTGGGATTCAGTGTTCTTTATGGCAGATGCAAATCTTCAGTGCAATGTTAGACATTTTATCTTTGGATCTTCATTCTTGATGACTTCACTTTTTTTCTTTATAGTTTTCTCAGATAAGGCAGGTTGGTAACCTAAATAACCATATAGATGAAGATAATACATATACGAAGTCGTCAAATTTATACACTGTTACAAGGTCAAGAAAACAAACTGCAAGATGAACAGTAACTAGGACCCTCTACAGAAGAATAATAGTTATAATTTCAGTACTAAAAGCTTTCAAAACCAAATCTCTTCAAGGCTTCTTTCCTCAGTTACGTTTGTTCATAATTTTTGTCAAAATAAATGCACTCTTCAGGATCAGTATGACGGAAGTCATCTCAAGTTGTCTAGCAGGATATGTGTATCATAATCTGCTTCCATGAACCAATCAGCACTTTCAGAATAATGGTCTGAACAAACTGAAAGGCTTTAACTGTTTTCAGTACAGCTGGGACATCTCCAGTGGTTTCTAACCACAATGTATGGAAGCCTTTACAATACTTTATAACAATGGGCCTACACAGTTTTGATGTATTTGATATTTTTCTCTAGATGTTCATGTTTCTGTCATTACCCGGAAAAGAATTTTAACCTTCTGATAGTTTTTCAACAGTATCTGTGTTCTCAGCTTTATGTTGGCTAGCATCTTTTAAGTTCATCCACTTTGCTACATATTTATATCCATTATCTTCTGAATGCCTAGGGTGAGGATCATTACAAAGATTATTAGGTCAAGTATCACCCTGTTCTTCCAATACGAAACACTGGATAGCTAAGAACATGCACTTACAAAAAACAAACCCAATTCCTAATGCATAGACAAAGGTACTGAATTTTGTTTTTTGCAAGCACATTTTTTATTATTGGTGGTAAGCCCTCTTGCCCCTCCTAGGGGGTGAAGAGAAGTGGTTAAGACTCTAGTAATTAGTGTTCACATCGACGAAATACAATAGTAGTTCAGGGTTGCTAGAGATGGTGTCTACTGCCACCCAGGTGGCTGAGGTAGCAGCAGTAGCTGACCTTAAGTCTTCTAAATTGTTTACTAACTTCTAAAGAGCAGTAACTAAAGGCACCTGGGTGGCTTCAGTCGGTTAAGCATCTGACTCTTGATTTTGGCACAGGTCATGATCTCACAGTTCATGAGATCGAGCCCTGCGTCGGGCTCTGCACTGACAGCATGGAGCCTGCCTGGTATTCGCTCTCCTTCTGTGTCCCACCACCGATCCCCCCACCCCCCTGCCACTGGCCCATGAGTGTGCATTCTTGCTCTCAAAATAAATAAACTTAAAAAAAAAAAATACAGAGCAGTAACTAAACAATGTGTCAGGGATCTCTCTTTCTCTATGTTTATTTTTGACAGAGAGATAGCGAGCAGGGGAGTGGCAGAGAGAGACAGAGGGAGGGAGACACAGAATCTGAAGCAGGTTCCAGGCTCTGAGCTGTCCGCAGAGAGCCTGATGTGGGGCTGGAACTCACAAACCGTGAGATCATGACCTGACCTGAAGTCAGATGCTTAACTGACTGAGCCACCCGGCACCCCATGTCAGGTATCTCTTAAAATCACCCTCGTTTGAAGTATTCTCAAATGGCAAAATTCAACAAAGCCTGTTTCTTACTTCATTCCTAGAATATAAAAATAAAAGATGAAAGAATGAACATTTCCTTCAACTATTTTCTCTTCAACATTGTAGTTATTTATTAGGGTTACAGCATTCACTGTAGGGAGTCCTTTCAACACAATATGTTATCTGTGATATATTTCTGGAAAAAGTCTAATGATAATTCTACTCCTGGGAGTGCTCATTCCCAAATTAGAACATGTCTACTTGTCTTATATGAGCTAAGTTAAGATGGTATTCTCACTGGAATTCACTAAGGTAAGATGATTTTTAGCTTTCTGATTCTAGATTAAAAAAAAAAATTAACTAGTTCAAAATGCTCGTTCACAACCTTAGCTTCAGAGAAACCTGACGACTCCTAGTATATTTTACTCAGGTTATTTTCTCTTAACATTGGTTCCATCAATTCTCTCTTAGCACAGGTAGTCCTTAACCACATTACCCACATTCCCTTCACAGAACAACATCAGCTGCTTAAACACTGCCACCTACAAAAAAAATTTAATGCTTAACAAAGAACACGAAGGACACCTTAAACATCATTGCATAAGATGCTTGGGCGGGTAGGTGAAAGAGGGACAGAAAAGAAGGTTCATCTCTTCTTTAGTCTGTTTTGGCCAAAAACAAATAAAAAGAAACAATGTCACACTATGGGAGACATGATTTGGTTATGATGTGGTCACAGGTTTTGCTGTTGTCTCTTCCTCATGCTCTTGAGTGTCTTCATTAACCTGTAGGCACTGGCAGCTGTGTGTGTCTTGCTATCAGAACCGCAGTATGCACATAGCAGAGAAGTCAGGCTTTTGTAGAGTCTTTTGGTACCGTGAAAAAGTCTCAAGTGGAAATAAGTAGGGCAGAAAGACCCCACAGCTGTACGCTTCTTGCCACAGTGTAGCACACAAAACATAAAGATGCTTTTCCCTCAGATACAGACTTACCCATTTAACAAGGGGCCATACTTTATTCTCCACCTCTTGTTTAAAGTTAAAAGGAAGATTTATGTTAACATTAGCTCCTCATGACTCAGAACTTAATTTTCTGCTTTTGTTTTTGAAGAATACATCAAACATACAGAGGAAAAGGTCTCACTTTTTTTATTCTTTGCTTTTTAAGTTTTTATTTTAATTCCAGTTAGTTAACATACAGTGTTATATTAGATTCAGAGATACAATACAGTGATTCAACAATTCCATAAATCACTGGAAGCTCATTATGACAAGTGAACTCCTTAATCCCCATCATCCCTCCCCCAGCCTCCCTCCCTGCTGGTAACTATCAGTTTATTCTCTATAATTAAGAGTCTGTGAGAAAAGGTCTCACTTTAAATGAAAGGGTGTAGTGTTTATAGATCAACTGCTAGACTACATGGATTCTATTTTCAGATATTTTAAGTGACCAAACAAAACGGGAGAAAATAAAGTACAGAAAAAGGGTGAATATAACAGCTTCCCAGGGCTTTCCACAAGAGGCACTGGCAGCTTTCAGGATACAAGAAATAATGACAGATATAAATACTGTAGCTGCAAATTAACATTTAGCAGATGAGTTTTTGAAAATGTCCTGTTTGGGGGATTCTTCTTTAATAGGCAGTCAAAGCTCTCCAAGCATTTAATAGAGAACAGCGTTTAAAACTTAAACACCACTCTTTTCAAAAACAATTCTTTATGTTTAGATCCTCTCGCATTTTTATTTTTTTACGTACTTTAAATCGCAAAATCTGAAATGCCCTTTAAGTTTGATGAGCTAGTTCACAGAGCTGTGGAGTATGTAAAGCTTCCAACACACATGATGCCTATGTAGACCATTACCATGACAACAGTTTCACTGAAACTGATATAGGAGATGGAATCAAGACTGGTGCAGGTTTTCCCCTGCCACCCAAAAGAGACTTCCTGTGAAA